TATATATAATTTATTATAAATTTTAATTATATAATAAATATATGGACTAATTAAATTGTATTTTTCTTTTCAATTTATGTACAATTTTCACATGTCTTATCTTTGATGCACTCATGCCCTTGTCATTGTCACATGTCAACTACGCCTCCGTAGTCCAGACGTTTCCTTGATGTTGTCCAGCGACGCACTGTTACTTTGCTATTGACTTGACTTGACTTTGCAGTCTTCGCTATTACGGCACGAAAACTCTATACCCTTCCAAATAATTATTAATAATTATTAGATTAATTAAAAATAATTAGATCCAAAAAAATAGAACAAACCGAAACATATGGAAAATGAAAAAATAGAATTTGATTTTTTTAAAATTAAACAAGGTTATGGAGAATAGATATAGAATAAATGAAAAAAATTAAAAATCTTTACAGAATTTTAGATTGTTATATAAATAATTGATAAACGGAAAATAATATAGAAATAAGGTTGAAAGACTCTTAATAATCATAAAAAATATATTAATAAATCTAGAAGAAAAAAAAAATCACATGAAATTGGTATCAGATCAAAATAGATAAATAAAATGATGACATGGAAATATGCTATTGATCAAAGTTTTAAAACCCCTAAAATTTGTAGAGTTATTGAAGTAACTCTCATTACAGCAATAGAAAACTCAAATTAGAAAGAAAAAAAAAAAGAAAAAAAAACTAGCAAAAGAAATAAACCTGACTTGACTTGACTATTACGAGCGAGCGTGGTCGTTTTGCATTTGACTCTCAAACTTATGTGCCAGCTGCCAACTTCGTTGAAGGGGTATCAAAATGTTGGACAACTTTTCTTTTTTCCTTGACTTAAACATTATATCTTTTTAAATGCCCTTCAACCCAAAGCTACGATTCGTTGCTTTTATGTTGGATGGAATGAAAAGAAGCACCTCTACATTCATGTATCAGTACAATCAAAATAGGATAAATTATGTTAAATTATTAATACACTTATGTAGAAAATGAAAAATTAACTACAAACTCCAATAAATTCATTGAATTTGTTATTCTAATTGCATAATTTTCAAAATAATAATAAGAAACAAATCATCGTTGATTTTATATTAGCATTAATTTTTTAAATGTAATAACTGCATTTTTTTATTTTATAATATTAGCATCAATTTTTTAAAATGTAATAATAATATAGTAACATGTTATCGATTCAAATATATTTAAAAAATAATGAAATAAATAATATTAATTTATTATATAAAATTTATACTCATTTTAATAATCATATATTTAAAAGTACTTTTAATTATGAATGACAATATAGAGAAGAAGAGTGATAAGAGGATGAAGTTGTGATTGTTCATCAACGAACTTGGCAACGAGGGCATTTGCAATGCTATGACAAATGGCATAGATATGATTTTCTTCCGCGTGAAGCACTATGGTGATGGAGAAGCACAAGTGCAACCAATAAATTATCGGCTTTGCCCTTTCATTTTATATGATTTAATTTGTTTTGTTGTTCGTGAAAGGGACTTTATTTTGTTTTAGTTGTTGTTCTAGGGAATTAATTTTACATGAGGATTTAAGGATACATGGTGACCTTTTGACACAATATATTGTCATCATTAATTTTATAGGAACTTGTCACTATATTTAAAGGCTTTACTTGGTTCGACATGAAATTTTTAGATTGCAAAAGATTTAGGTGTAATATTGTGAGTTATGAAAGTGTTATAATAATTCTAAGTTGTTTCATGTTGTTAAGTTGAGCTGTTAATTAGTGTTCAGACTTTGGAGTCTAAAGATCCTTTAAGATTTTAATAGTGTTGGAAGTTTCTTTAGACAAATGATTAATTTGACCTCAAGTGTAAGAGTGTATAAGATTTATGTTTTGAATATAATCTCATAAACTCTTCCCCTCAATTTTTTTGAGGAAGGTCTTTAGTCTATAAGTTCCATTTTCTCTCAATCTTTTCTCTTCCTTCTCTGATCCTTATTGTGTTGTCTTGTTGATGAATTTAGGTTCTTAGAAGCCTTAAATTAAGTTGTTTATCCATTCAAAATTATGTTGCAAGAGTTTCTTCTCTTCTATCTTGATTCCGAGCTACCCAAGGTAAGGGAAGTTAGATTTTGCTTATAGTGAAGTTGTTGAGTTGTTAAATGATGTGTTGGTTATATGTTGTATGAATTCCTTACAATTCAAGATTGTATGTGAATCAAAACAGAGCAGGTTGTAGTGAGAGTTAGGATTTTGGATTCTTGATGAAGAATGTGGTGATTTGAGTTTACTTGTGGTTGCATGTTGATTCTAAGTGCATATATGTGTTGATTGTGATGTATGTAAGTGTTGTTTGATGTTGCATGTGTTGAATCTTGTTGTTTTCAGGTTATGACTCAAAATCAGGTTCTACATATGCAAAATGTTGATATCGCGTCGAGTGCGCCTTCATGATGTTGAACGTCATTCTAATTTAAGACTCTCTATCTTGATCACGTCAGTCGCAAGATTGGTGGCGTTGGACGTGGTGAGAGAAACTTGTCTCAAATTGGAATGACGTAGAGCGTGAGAACCCTAAGAGTTCTTTGACTTGGTGATGTCGGACTCAAAGTTGAGAGACACCTAGTGTGTCTAAGCTCTATTTGAATTTCATCGAGTGCCAAGGTGATGACGTTGGACAAGACTCAAGTAGAGACTCTTTACCTAAAGTGGGGTCAAGTGTGATAGTTTATCATGTTAGACGCAAGGTCTTAGGGGCTTCTGCCTTAGCCAAGTTAGGCATAGGTAATGTAGCGTCGGGCATGGGCGAAACAAGAGAACTTTCTGCATGGATGGCGTTGAGCACAAGATGAATAACATCGAGCGTTAGTTGTTGAAGAAAAACATGATGATGTAGTTGATTCCTAGATGACTTAAGATGTCAAATGAAAATATGATGAATAAGTTGTAGAGATGAAGTAGTATGTGATAACTTTGTTGTGAGTTGTTAGTTAAGAAGTGGATATGAGTCGTAAGATGTTTGTGTTGATAGAGTTGTATGTTAGCTGTGTAGTTGTGTTGAACATGCGATGTGTTATTGAGATGCGTGTTGATTAAAGAATTTAATAGAAGCAATGGTGCTTGAGTTGTGAGATGTAAAATTGTATGTTGATTTCATCGTTGTGTTGAATATATAAAGTTGTTGTGTTGTTGTTAAGCTATGTCGACCACTTAGAACTAAAAGGAAAGTTTTCAAAAGTTGAATATCCCATTGTTTGGGTATTGTGTTGTGGTGTACTAAGAGCCCAATTTTGTTGAAAATCCTTCTTCAGAGGTTGTCCTTGAAGTGGATATTATGTTATTTCTCCTCTAGGACTTTGTTATTATCGTGTGTAGGAAATATCGAAACATATGTGTATGAAGCGGCCATAGTATAGGTGTTGGGTCCAACTATATTGATTACAAGTAATCAACCAAGTAAAGTACGAAGTTAAGAACCTAGTTCCTAATAGAGTATCAGAAAGGCATAGTATTTGGAAGGTAGTTACTGAACTAATCACATACGAGACTTAGTTAAGCTAGTTAATGTTGTGGTAGGACTGTACCAAATTATTTTACCTTGACAATAATATTATACTTCCTTGTTTAATTGATGACATATGAGAAATTGAGTTACCGTATTGTGAATTTTTATCCAATTTTCTGTTGATCTAGCAAGTCCTAAAAGACCACCCTATATTGTCAGTTTAGTAAGGTCAAACCACTTAAACTATTTGTCCTGTGTTGTAGGAGATCTCCTAGTTGAAATACGTGACGACACATATAGTTATTGTGTTAAGCATATGATGTGTTAAGTTGATTGTACTATTTATATGTTGTGTCGATTTGTGATGAAATTTGTTGTTGTATTGAACTTAAGTTGTTGTGTTGATCTGAGTTGTATACCGTGATGTCATGTTGTTGCGTTGTTAAAGATGAGATGATGATGTGATGTTCCTGTGTTATATTTATGTTGTTTCTTTTTTACTTTGGTTACCCTTACACGTTTTTATGTGGTTTGGACCACGATAATTATATATGATATGAAAGCAAGCCAAAGATAGGATTGAAGTGTTGTTGTGGGGGCCACCCAATGACATAAGAACTGGAGGATATTTTATTGATTATTTGATGGTAATAAATTTGTATAGACAATTGTAGTTACTTAACCGACAACTTAAGATATATAATTTATATTTACCAAATTATTGTATTTATATTGTACATATTTATGTAGTTGTGTGCCTTTAAATCATGCAATATAATACATATTTTTCATAATTGTAAGTTTATAATTTTAAGTTAGATATTTTTCACTATTAGTAACTCTATCATGTAGTATAAGGACCAAAACAAGTCGTTACCTATTCTCTTTTATAATTTTTTTCCTTTTATAATTGTTAATTCAAAAGTAATAAATGATTGTATTTATTATTTATAATAAAATATTTTCTTAGTATTTATTTTATATTAAATATAAATATTAAGAATTATAAACTATTTATTATCGATATTAGTATATGGGAAAACTTTTAAATATTAAATAAGAGATTTTAGGAAAAATTGTACTATTTTCCCTCTAAAATTCACAATCTTGCAAATTTTGTTCTCAGTTTTATTTTCGTAAATTGTGTTCCTAATTTTTAAAATGTCATGAATTTTGTTTCATGTTGGCGGTTTGGAAGGAAATTTATCAAAGAATTGTCTTAAATATGACAATTTAAAGAAAAATTACCACAATATTTTTTTTCTAAATTGCGACGATTCTCTAGGTGAGGACAAAATTGATGATATTTTATAAATTAGAAGGTAAATTTGGCCTCCCATTCATGTAATCCTGACTCCATCTCTGGTTAGAAGCTTGTTTTAATGTCTTGTTTTAGCAAATTTTTTAATTAATAAGTGATCCACTTTTGATTAAACAATCTTAAAATTAAGAAAATACTAAAACTGTATTTTTTCTATTATTTAATTTGGTGCAGGTATTTTTTTTTCTATTAAAATGCTTTCATCATTTTACATAATACTGAACAAATGAAAAACAAAAGATAAATAACAAAGCCATCACCACAACTTCTGAAAGTAACAAAATATATCAACTAACAATAAGCAAATCTAAATATCGAGTTCATCAATGTTGACATTGTTTGTGGTTGTCATTAATTAGCTCAGCAACACTTTTCTTTGACTTGTTCCCTTTGAAGAATGAGGAACACCTAAAATATATATGATTTTAAAAACATTATCATCACAGTGATCCAAATCAATAAGCAGACAAGCATTAGGAGGGGACTCATTTATCACATAATTTCGCCTACTTCCCAATTCTAATGTATTTTATAAAATGTCCTTGAATTGAAATTTGTACTTTAGTTTTACTAATTCTAATATCCTTTTCATTTTTACAAATTCTTGTCATCAAAATTTAAATAATCAAACTGATGAACACATTCAACAGTTTCAAACCTAGGGCCTATTATAAAGAAAACACTGTCAAAGACTCAAAATGAAAATATTCCGTCATGTTGAGAGACATGTTATGTACATGAAGTGAAAAAAAAAGAAGAGAAGAGTAAATCACATTTTTATTCTCTTATAATATTTGATCACGATGTTGGTTCTCTAATTTTTAATTATGTAATTTTATTTTTTAATTTTATAAAATCTACAATTTTATCTTATCATTAAATATGATTTTTAAAATTATAACATAAATTATAACATGATATTAAATAGATAACATGATAATTAGTATACTTAATTATATATTTGATTATTTATCTTATTTATAAAATTTATTTTGATCTTTTATCTTTTAAAAGAGTAGTTTTTTTTTTTAATTTTAAGACACAATTTTAATTTTTTTGTATTAATTTAAGATGTAAAATTTGTCTCTTTATATTTATTTATGTGTTTGAATAAAAAAAGTTATAAATATAATAAGTTGTGTGAAAAATAAATTCTTGAGCAACCAGACAGAAATATAATATTATTTTATTTATTTGTTTAATTTCCTAATTATTTGTTGGGTGCATTAAGTTTCATTCTTGTTTCATCATATATATGACCTTTTTTTTTAATTTGAATCTCAGTTGTATTAATAGTTTTTTATGCAAGTGAATTTGATGAGAGAATTTTTTATATCTTGAATTAATAAAAAAGAATTTAAAATCTCAAAATATAACATGATCACTATTTTAGAAGAATCAAATTGAATTAAGAAAGGAAGATAAAGAATCAAATTAAATCTTTTGAAAGATAAAATATCAAAATAAACTTTAAAAATAAAATAAAAATAAAAATTACAATTTAACCTAATTAATATTTGATGATATTTATACTGACTTGCATTTTTAATCTTTATTTTTACCATATTTTCAATTTTTTTATCACCTTTGTAAGATAAAATAGAGAATAAAAATGTAATTTAATCTAAATATTATTAAATATGAATTATTTCATTATCTAATTAATGTCAAATTATGATTAATACTAAAAATTTAACAATTAATAGATAAAATTATAATTTAGGATCGATTTTATGTAATTTAGAAAGAAAGAAAAAACCTATTTACGTCACCTATTTTATATAAGGCTCATAGAGCAATAGTCTTTTAGGTCTAAGTAAACTAATTAATAGAGCTAAGTATTAAATATATTGCTAATAACTATATATATTAAATGAAATATTAATTATAAATTAATATTATATATATAATGATTATGTTTAAAATTTTAAATAGATCGGGCCTAATAAATTTTTTAGTCTAAAGTCTAACTCTTTTAGTAAAAAAAGTTCTGAAATGTCTAAATCGGACTTTTTCTTAATAAATAGAGCGCATGACATTTCTATCCCTAAAAATAAGGAATAAAGGAGTCCAATCATGTTTGGAACTTAGGAGGCAAGTGTATTAAGAATGATAAGTGTATATGGCTGGGTTAATAGATAAAGTTGAAAGGAGACAATAACAGTGATGACATTGATGATAAAGTAAAAAAAAAAAAAAGATTCATCAATGATACAAATACTTTTTCTTTTATCTATTATTAAAAAGAAATCTGATTTACTCATATTAAAGAAATTAATTAATTGTATTAAATTGTGATTAATATTATAATTTTTTTTATAAGTTATCTTTATTTGTAAATGAAAAAAAAAATTGGTGAAACCTAAAATGTCATACATTAAAAGATTTTTTTTTTAAAAAAAGAATATATTTAAATGAGAAAAAAATAATTAAATACTTATATTTTAAAAAATGTATTTAATTTTTATTTTTATAAAAGAGAACAGAGAATACCCCTTAACTAAAATACACTTGCCTCTATGTCTTCGTGGTCTATGATATTGATCTAGTTGTAATTTAGCACACCTTAATGCTTAATATATATATATATATATATATAAAACAGGTTAAACAAATAATATAATCTTGAATTATCAAGTGTAGTGCGTGCTATAGAACTAGAACTAGAAGGCACTTTGTTTATGATGGATTACATTGCTTTGGGGGGTTTTGTAGTCATATTTCTAATGGAAAGTTGGGTTTTATTTTACTTGAGGATTTTCATTGCTTTTCAGCTATGCTTTTGATTGGTTTTTGAGTTGATTTTGTTGGGAAATTTAATTCTGTAGTTTATGTAACATGACCGAGGAGATTTTGTCCTCCCCACTTTTACTTCGCCAAAAATAAAGGTATATATGTTACTTAAAAAAATGAAATTATATTCAAGAGCATGTTTAGGAAGATGAGAATAAAAAAAATAATTTAAACTCAATTCCATTTTCATTGAAGTTGAGAAAATTCATTTTTTCTTTCTAAACTCATTATATATATATATATATATATATATATATTTATTTAAATAAATCATAAAGGATATTGTAATTTAAATATGACATAAAAAATTGAGAATAAGAAATATAAAAAAATTTATTTTTAAGTAAATTTTTTATCTTGACATTATTAATTAGCGATTATACTATTTGAATTATTTAACTATTATGATAGTTAAACTATATTTCTGAAAATTCCTTCTGTCTTTCTCCACCCACTTAAATTAAATGAAATTTTAACATAAAGGTTATATGCTATAAAAAAATAAATAAATAAAAGTTTTACGTACCAATATGTATGCTATGCAACTTGTTTGACCTTAACAGAAGGAATTGATTTTGATGATGAGCATGACATAAAGTCGGTCCCTCAAATCATAAAGAAAGTTGAAGTAAGCATGCCTCCATTTTCTGTTGAAGAAAATGGCAGAACAGACACCCAAAAAGCCTGTTGCAAATCCAGATTCTATTCCAATGTAAAACCATGACAAAAATGTAGATTCACCGTCTTTTGATTTTGTGTCTTTAGGTTTACCACCCTGAGAGCAATTTTTTGTGAGTGGAGGTCCACAAAGATCAGGATTTCCTATATAGCTGAGTGCACTAAACCCTTGAAGTTGTGTGCCTAATGGTATTTTGCCTCTCAAATTGTTGAAAGACAAATTTAAATGACCCAAAAAGGATAAACCAGACAAGCCTTGAGGAATTTCACCCCAAAGTTGGTTTGAAGAAAAATCAAGGGACTCCAATTTTTTCATGTTACCAATCTCATTAGGAATTTCTCCTGTTAATTTATTGTGGGACAAGTTCAAGGAGCACAATCCAATGAGGCTAAACATTTGGGGAGGTATTGTTCCTGACAAATTGTTACTTGACATGTCAATTAAGCTCATGAAGTGCAGGTTTCTTCCATATTCTGATACTTGGCCTTTTGTAACCAACTCAAGACTGTCTTCAAATGTGTAATGGCCACCATATGTAGGAAAGAAAAAAGAAAGCTTGTTGTGTGAAGCTTTGATGGAAATCAAGGTTGTGATATTATGTAGACATGTGGGTATATGTCCTGAGATTGTGTTATCTGCAATATCCAAAATAATGAGAGATGACATTTGGCATACTTGTGTTGGGAGATTACCACTAAAATTATTGGACCTTATTTGAAGAGCCTTAGCACCAAGTGGTATCCAATTTGGTATATTTCCTAAAAAGTTGTTTTCACGAACATTAAAGATCATTAGAGAGTGGCAATTTTTTAGCGAGGGAGGAATCTCTCCATAGAGCTTATTCTCATGCAGATGTAGCGATGTAAGATTAGATAACAAGCCCATTGATGGAGGTATCTTTCCTATTAGATTATTGCTTCCCAAGTTAACATGAACCAAAGATTTCCAATTCTTCCAACAATTAGTAAGCCCTCCAGATAGATGATTCAGAGATACGTCCAAGTACACCAAATTGGTTTTCTCATCAATCATCTTTTGATCACACAAGAGAGGAGAGATGTTTCCTGATAATGAGTTGTTTGATAGCTTGACAACCGCCACATTGGATGATAATCGAGGTAGAGTACCTTTCAGACCATTTGATGACAGAGATATGAATGTAGAGTTCAACAACACGTTTGACAGGTTACCATCTATCAAATTATCTTCTAAATACACTTCTGACCTTCTTGACAAAAAATTCCAAAATTTTTCTAGAGCCTCAAATGATGATTTGTAAATCAATAAATGTTCAAGAGAACTTTGTGAATATAACCACGCAGGAAGATTAGGACCTTCAAATCCGAAAAACAACCGTTCAAGTTGAAAAGGTGGAATCCAGTGAGAGTCAAAATCAAAGATTAATGGTGGTGTTATGGATATATGCAACTCCTTTAATTTTGACAGTTTGACAAAATTTTTCTCGGACACAACTCCTTTCAATTGATTTGAGGAAACAGACAATAAAACTAACGATGATAGATTTCCCAAATTTGTGGGAAGAGATCCAGAAAAATTGTTTTTTCTAAGATTAAGATATTGTAGATGTTCAAGTTCGCCTAACCAATCTGGAATTGGGCCATTGAAGTTATTGCCTTCGAAGTTCAAGGCTTCCAAGTGACGAAGATTTAACAATGACTTAGGTAGTTGACCTCTTAAAGAATTAGACCTAAGGTCAATAGAAAGGATACCACAACTAAGATTAAATAACCATTTAGGCAACTCTGAGTGAAAATCATTTGTAGGAAGAGAAAGAACTTTGAGTGCAGTAAAATTAGCATACTGAAGAGATGGACTCATGTCTTGAAGTCGACAATTATGCATATGGAGCTCTTTTAGTAATGGAAGCATGGCCACAAGTTGAAGCCAGTTAGTTTCCTTGTGAAGATCAATGCCGTCGAGGTTGAGATATTCCAAGGAGTAAAGATGAGAAAGCCATTGAAGACTATTGATGGAGAGATGGTTCAATGATAAATCAAGAAAACGGAGGGCTGAAGAGTTTACACACTCATGAGGAAGAGTGGATATAGATAGGTTATGACAATTCTGGCTAAACACATCAGAATCAAATTGGATAGCTGAGAAGTGATTGTTGCTCAAATTCAAGTGTTTCAAGAATTCAAGCTCCACCACCAACAAGGATAGATTAACAGAACCTGTGAGACAGTGTGATTTATCTATTTTGTTAATGTAAGTTGGAAGAGTTGTAGAACATGGGAGACTTAGCTGAGTGACTCTATTTGTGATGTTGTCACACATGACTCCCTTCCATTCACAACAATCTTGCTGAGTGGACCATGAAGAGAGAACGCCTGATGGATCCTTGAATCCTTGCTTGAAGTTTAAGAGAGCCTGCATGTCTTTGGAGTTGCAGCGAATATTGAAGCTGCAATTACCAGTGTTGAACATGATTGCACATAGCAACCAAGCATAGATTATTGCATGTTGTGAGGGAAATGTTTTCATGGCTACAAGAGAAATGAAGGTGTGTGAGGTAGTAGGGAGGGAGGGGAACTTTATTTATACAATGAAGAGTTTGTCCTTGATATATGATTTATGATCTATAATAAAATATTGTGTACCATAAGAAAATGTAATTAATTAGCATTGCCACTATTTGGACAAAGAAATTTCCTTGCAAAAGTATTGCTCAGTACCTACAATGAAAACGATTTTGGAAACACTTATCCAAATGCCATAAAAACGATGGCATTGGTTGGTTGCCCCCATTAATGCTTCCATTGGTTTGGATTGTCGGCAACAGAGGGCCTTGCATCTGCACCAAAGATTTTTCTACTGCTATTTTCCCTTTAATTTAGTTATAATGTTTTAATTTGTTGTTTGTAACTATATATATGTGCTCATATAATAATTATTCCTTTAAACATGTAGTTAGTTCGATACATTTCATGAACAATGCATATATATACACATAATTGGAAAAGGTAATTCCCAAATTTGGTGCATAACCTTATCTCCCAAAATCTCTATTAGGATTTTTTTACAAAATTTTTAAATAGGAAGAACTTTGAACGTTGATTAAAAATAAGTGTTCCTGACCAATATATATTGTACCGGAAGGGTCCGATCGGCCACGTGGACAAGCACGTCATATCCTATCAGATATTGACGCAGTTCACTTCGGCTCGGCAAGGAACCGAGAACCGTATCCTCTCCCTGTCGGCTCGGCCACAGGCCGAAGATGAAAAGGGCGTCTCGGCCGTTCCACATCGGCTCAGCCAAAGATCAACTGAGTCAGTAATTAGGATGACGATCATGATTAACAAGGGACTACACGCAATTAAGGCATAACCAACCGATCAACATCGTATTACCTAATTTGGTAAATGTCAGAGAAGGCCCACCATGTTCAAGCCCATGACAGGTAGTATAAATAAGTCACACGTAACGAAGTATGTCACTGTTCATTTATTACCCTAGAGAATCGTGTTTGTCCTAACTTGAGCATCAAAGTGCCTTTTGCAAGTACCTCCCCCCTGTCTGAAGTATCAACCCGAAGCTCTCTTTCGACCCTCCAGTTACTAGAAGATTACGAGTGTACCCTTAGACATGTACATATATTGAACGAAAGGTAAAAGTATTTATGTCTTAAAAACTTATAATATATTTAATACTTTATTTGTTTCATGTATATAATATTTACTAGTAAATCATTGAATGATATTGAAAATCTAATTTTTTAAATAAAATTTTATATTCAAGTTTTGTGAATAAAAAACACAACTAAAAAAAAAAGACTTTACTAAAAATAATCAATCAAATTTTTTAACAAAAATTAGTTATCAATGAAATAGATGAATTTTTCTTATCAATAATATATGATATAGTTAAAAAAATGTATATAATATGAACGTCCACTTCATAAATAATATTACCCATATAATACCATAAATTTGCTGGAAAATTTTTTGAAGAAAAAGTTCACAAAATTCATAAAAAAAATTTCTACAATAAAAGTTCACAAGTTCAAGTCATATTTTGTAAACTTTCTTATAGCAAAATGAAGATATAAAATCATAGAAAAATGTATTTGTAAAATGAAAAACATATATTTATATTATAAAAGGCAATTAAATAATGAAATAATTAGTGTATATAAAAATATTATAAAATTAATTATAAAAAATTCAATTTAAAAACTTAAAATCAATATTAACATAAAATTTTCTACAAAATAATAGTAAAGAAATTTTCTAAATATTACTTTTTTTGTATTCTTTCAATAACTAAAAATTGAAAATTAAAATTCTATATAATTTTGATGACTTAAAATCATTAATAATTGAAAAATAATAACTCCATTTGAAAAAATTATAATATTTCAATGACTTAAAAATCATTATTAATTGAGAAATAAATAATCTTAAAAATTTTCTAAATATTATAAAAAAATATTATTAGTATCAATTAAAAATATAAGAAGAAAATAATTGCATTTTTTTATAATATTTTTCATAAAATGCAATTTTTTTTTTCAGAAACTCCACATCCCGTTTCAATATTATCGTAGTTTTTTTTTATAAGAGGTAGTAGGAGATATCTGTGTTTCTCCTAAAAAATTCTCACTTTCCACCGTGATCACATCTTTAACTATCTTCTTATTTTTCATTTTAGTTCGTGTTTACTTTTTTTGTCAAGAATTCACGTTAAGCTAAATCATGTAAAAAATAATGCAAAAACAGCTATCAATTGCTTCTTAGATTCACGACTAGTATTTGAGACATTACTAATACTAAACATATCCTTATGCTTTTGGTGCTTTTGTGAGGAAAAGCAAACTTCCTCCATTTTTCAATGCTATAAACTATTTATCATAAATATTAATACCAATTCATAACATAATAACAATATGCCATTTGCGTCTTTTTGCATATTTTTGTATGATTATACTATAGATGGACCAGTTTTATTTACAGTTGAGAAACAATTACAACTTATTCGATGGTCTAAATATTTTTGTCTTGTATATTTATTCAATTTTATTTTAAAATATAAAATCGATGCTTATTTTTTTTTAGTCGAGAAAGAGCTTAATAACTAGAGACTAGGGTGACAAATGAATTTTATCATCTAAGATTTATAATCAATTTTTATATATTAAATTTGAATCATTATTTTGTATAAGAATATTTTTAAAAATCATTCTTTGACAAAAATATTTTTAGAAACTCTTTTAACTTTTTATTTATTGAAAATGTTAATATGTCATATTTATTTATATATTAAATTTTAATATTTTAAAAATAAATGATCAATAATTAAAAAATATTTTATCATAATATAAATTATTTATCTTAAATTTAAGAAATAATTTAGATATTTATTTATATGAATCATAAATATAATTTATATTTGATATTTATTTCTATATATAATTTATTATAAATTTTAATTATATAATAAATATTTAATCTTGAAATTCACACCCTAAAATAGTAGTAAGTTTGGAAACATGTTTGAAAGGTTAAACATGATGTCCATTTGTAGAAATATGTAAAAAGTATTACATGGAGCAGTCAATCCAGACGCGAAAATTCACACTGCCAAATCGTAATCAAACACGCATGATGTACTTGGATGATTTTGACTACAAGAATTCATAATGTCTTTTTGATTTTTCTCCACTTAAATTAGGTATTTTTGACTGGATATTTGTTTCATACTTACAGTCAAATTGGAATCTGAAAAACATCTGCAGAAACAAAAAATTCCAATGTTGATCCAAAGTTTCAGACCATGCCACCGCAAACAGATAAAAAAATAAAAAAAAAAATTCTCACCCTCCGCCAATCCACACTTCAAAGTCAAATTCTTTTAACTAACCTCCGCTGTTTAACAAATTTCAACTCCATTCAATTTTGCCACACAAATCCATAAGCAAAACGAGACGAGAAAAAAAAAAAAAAAGCATTTTTTCAAAGAAAGATGAAGCTCCAAACACGAGAGCTTCTTCTGCTACACTCCTTTGTCTTCTTATTATCCACGATTGCAGGAACCACCACCATCTCACCAGGATCAACGCTTTACGCTTCCAACACAACCCAATCATGGTCCTCTCCCAACAACACTTTCTCTCTCCACTTCCTTCCTCTCCTCCCTCCTTCCTTCACCGCCGCCATTGTCTACTCCGGCGGCGCCCCCGCCGTATGGTCCGCCGGAAACGGAGCCACCGTCGACTCCGCCGGCACCCTCCGCTTTCTTCCCTCCGGCAACCTCGTCCTCGTTAATGGGTCGGGTTCCACCGTGTGGGACTCCGGAACTTCCAACATGGGTGTCTCCTCCGCCACGCTTCATGAAAATGGAAACTTGGTTCTCTCCAATGCCACCGGTTCAGTCTGGTCGAGCTTCGACAACCCCACCGACACCATTGTGCCGTTTCAGAATTTCACCACTGGTATGGTTTTGCGTTCTGGGTTGTTCTCATTTTCTGTTCTTAAGTCTGGGAATCTCACTCTCAAGTGGAGTGATAGTGTGCCTTACTGGGATCAAGGCTTGAACTCTTCCATGAGTGAGGCGAATTTGAGTTCACCGGTTTTGGGGTTGCAACAAAGTGGGGTTTTGCAGCTTTTTGATCACAATTTGAGTGCCCCCATTGTGGTTGCTTATAGCAGCGACTATGGTGAGGGGAGTGATGTGCTGAGGGTTTTGAAGTTGGATGGTGATGGGAATTTGAGGGTTTATAGCTCTAAGAGGGGTAGTGGGACTGTGATTTCAAGATGGGTTGCTGTTGAGGATCAATGTGAGGTTTTTGGTTACTGTGGAAATAATGGTGTTTGTAGTTACAATGATTCTAGTTCTGACCCCATTTGTGGATGTCCATCTCAGAATTTTGAGATGGTTGATTCCAATGATAGTAGGAAAGGGTGTAGGAGGAAGGTGAGGCTTGAGGATTGTGTGGGGAATGTGGCGATGTTGCAAGTGGACCATGCTCGATTCTTGACTTATCCTCCTCAGTTTTTGATCAATCCTGAGGTGTTTTTCATTGGTATATCAGCTTGCCGTGGAAATTGTCTTGCTGCTGTTTCTTGTTTTGCTTCCACTTCCTTGTCTGATGGAAGTGGACTTTGTTACTTAAAGACAACGAATTTTATTAGTGGCTACCAGAATCCTGCTCTTCCTAGCACCTCCTACATCAAGGTTTGTGGGCCATTGGCTCCTAACTCGGCACCTTCGTTAGAGAATGCGGGATGGAAGGTGCATGGTTGGTTAATAACTCTTGTTGTTTTAAGTACTCTTTTGGGCTTCCTTGTGTTTGAGGGTGGTTTATGGTTGTGGTGTTGTAGAAACAGGAAAGGATTTGGAGGGTTCGCTGCTCAGTATGCTCTTCTTGAGTATGCTTCTGGTGCACCAGTTCATTTCTCTTATAAGGAGCTTCAAAGATCAACAAAAAAGTTCAAGGAGAAACTAGGTGATGGGGGATTTGGTGCTGTTTATAAAGGAACTCTTGCTAATCAAACTGTTATTGCAGTAAGCAACTTGAGGGCATTCATCAGGGAGAGAAACAGTTTAGGATGGAAGTTTCTGCCATAAGTAGTACCCATCATTTAAATTTAGTGAGGCTGATTGGTTTTTGCTCTGAAGGGCATCACAGGCTTCTAGTATATGAGTTTATGAAAAATGGGTCTCTTGATAAGTTTCTTTTTGTTAATGAAGAACAACAGTCAGGGAAATTATTGAACTGGGGGTATAGATTCAACATTGCCCTAGGTGCTGCTAAGGGATTGACATACCTTCATGAGGAATGTAGAAACTGCATTGTCCACTGTGATGTAAAACCTGAAAACATTCTTTTAGACGAGAATTACAATGCAAAAGTGTCGGATTTTGGCCTTGCAAAGCTCTTGAGTCCAGTGGATCACAGGCACCGAACCTTGACAAGTGTGAGAGGAACCAGAGGGTATTTAGCTCCCGAATGGCTAGCAAACCTTCCCACAACTTCCAAGTCTGATGTTTACAGTTATGGTATGGTTTTGTTGGAGATAGTGGGTGGTAGAAGGAACTTTGAAATCTCAGAAGAAACAAGTAGAAGAAAGTTTTCCATCTGGGCTTATGAAGAGTTTGAGAAAGGTAACATCATGGGAATTATCGACAGAAGACTGGTTAACCAAGAGATCAATTTGGAGCAAGTGAAAAGAGTGCTTCTGGCATGTTTTTGGTGCATACAAGAACAGCCATCTCAGAGGCCAACTATGAGCAAAGTTGTGCAAATGCTAGAAGGTGTAACAGATATTGAGAGGCCACCAGCCCCTAAAGTCAATAGCAGTGCCACTCCTATCTCTACTATTGCAACTTCATCAGCTCCAACTTACTCCTCATCTTCATCTTTGTTTGCTTTTGAGGCCTCTCCCTTAGCTTTGGAAGGAGCACGGAGAACTTGACTTCATCCCTTTATATGTCAGACCCATGGCATTACTCCTTCCACTTTTGTTACCTTATGGATTGTTTCTAGATCATTTGACTTGTGATTTCTGTATGTACTATATTCCATTTTGCTCCTTTCTTGTACTAGCGTATATAACCGTCTGCTGTCGGAAAATTGGGCTTGTGCCCATTGGTGTGCAGTTTTAAACTAAATGAATGCCTAGTGCTTTTTCCATGATTTGTTATTGGAAATCATTCATTTATTTTGATTTCACAACTAGTGATATGTGTAATTTACAATAGTTGAGTCACGTGCTTGCACTTGAATAAGGTTTTACATTCAAGTCAAGAAGTTTAAAAGAAAAAATAATTATTCCCTTTCATTGATGACTAATAAGTAACAAGATTTAGCGAGTCTTATTTCTTAATACTATAGGAAAAATAATTGTTAGTCTGGTAAAAATTCAGATATAGTTTCTTTTGATGCTTCCTATTTATTTAATACAAACAAATGATTATTAGACGAGTTAATTTTAATTTAAAAAAAACTACAGCCTATGATTGGTAACTGATTAGAAGGGGCGTAATAAACACTCATATAAAAACCGAAAGGGGAAAAGCAAAGAGCGCACTCACTCACTTATTGCGTCAATTCCACTCCATTTAACGGTGAAGTGAGGAGGAGAATACGACGTCGCTGGAGCTGGGGAACCTCGTCTCTACTCGCTCTCGTCCCCGGCGGAGATCCACCATGGCCGGCAATCCCACCACCACCGCCTCCTCCGCATTATCTCCCGAGAAATTCAATTTCTCGCCCGATTACCCCTCAAAAATCCCCCTCACTTCGGATCAGCTCAAACACTGCACCCAGGCCCTCAACCTTCTCAAGGACAAATTCCACACTCCTCACAAAATCACTGAGGAGTTCGCACACTTGCAGGTTCGCACCCTAATTCACGATTCTCCTAACAAATCGCTAACATTGAACTCACTGTGTTGTCTTGTGTTGTGGTTTCAGGGGAACAGAATAACACCGAGTGAGATGAGGAGAAGATGCACCGTCGCTCTCGACGCCGTCAATTTGAGCAAGAATCGTTACACGGACGTTTTACCATGTAAATTTACTACCAAGGGTTTATTGTGTCGTTTTCGGGGTTGGGGAAAATAAAATGAAATTTGTCGTTTCTTGTTTTAGTTGACAACAACAGGGTTGTTCTCAAGTCAAGTACAGATTATAGACATGCAGCACTGGGGTATATCAATGCAAGCCTTGTCTCGGTACTATCTTCCTTCTCGTGTTTGTTTATAGGACATGATATGCTCTGAAATCTGAATTGTATTAGAAGCTTTGGAGAGATTAGATAAATGACAAAACTTAGGTACACTAGTCTATGGTTGGTGCTATTCTTTAATTAGAATTAGAGTCTCACTTTCTATAATATGGATTTACATTTAATGCAGATCTTGGTAATATACATATACATTTACGCATATGATGAAGGTGAGATTCTAATTCTGATAGGAGAATAACACCAACCATACCAATCGTGCTGTACTTAAGTTTTTTGTCCTTAGATAAATAATTAATTTGACTTGCATGCCCTTCTTCAATGTATGTAGACCCCTGGAAATGTGTCCCAGTTTATTGCCACACAAGGTCCACTTCCGCATACTTACGAGGATTTCTGGGAAATGATTATTCAATATCACTGCCCTGCGATTATCATGCTTACTAGGTTGGTGGACCATTACAGGGTACTTGTCACTTGGCCCTTGCATATCAATTAGTTTTTCTTTCCTCTTCGATTTGTTTTTTCAATTACATTTCTTTTTACCCTTTTTTTAGACAGTAAAGTGTGGAGATTATTTTCAAGCTGAGGATGGACCCAGAGAAGTTGGTAATATTTCTATTGTTGGTAAATGGATGAGCACTACTGAAACTTCGCTGGTGCTGCGCCATTTAGTGGTGAACCATAGAGAGGTCAGATAATTTTCCACTTGCAAAGGTTGTGATGGTTAGGTTATATATTTTTCTCTATAGACTGGCATGGGTAATCATTTGTTGATGGGAGGACGTGAGATTCAGGGAGAGGCCTCTCTTTCTTGAAAATTTTATCATTTCATCCAACCCTTGGTCTTTGTTTATAATTGGTTTGGTAAAATTCGGAGCCAACTCTAAAGCCTAGGGGATCAAAACTTTTCTTTGATACCTTGCACTTTAATACTAAACCCAGATTATTTTCTTAATGATATATCTCTCAAGTCTCAACTAATCAACAGCATTGCTGTAACATTAGAAGCTGAGAAGCCACTCCAAATTTAAGGAAGCAAGTTCAATGGAATGATGGTCTGTGCTCATGTTATTCCAGCGGAAGGGTGGTTCTAGGTCTAGATAATGTAGTATTTAAAATTTAGCAATTTACTCTTACTATTGTCTTTGGAAGTTAGGTTCAACTATATCAAGATAAATAAAGATGGTTATCAACACAACAAATGACGCCCTTTAAAGTGATTAGTTTTAATTATAAAAGTAACACATAGCTTTGCAAAATTTTCTGGTTGAGTTACTAGTTATTCCGTAAATCTTCCATAAATAGGTGATGCGAGTTAAATTTTGTGAAAGAACAAATACCATAAGTATAATGAATAAACTTTCCTTCTGTTTGTTAGTTTCTTATAATTGGGAGGATTTTTTTTATCCTCCTTAGTCAGTTAGTTGTATAGTTTCCCATTTCTTTCAGATATAATTTATTCTTCTTTAAGATAAAAAAATCCATCTGCATAACCTTATGGTATTTTAAATGTTTTGCAACCAAATGAAGTTGGGTGTGATGTCTGCATTGTTTTTAATACTTTATTTTGTGATCTTATGAAGGTAACTTTTTCTATTTCTAATTGACATTAACAATCAAATAATGTTTTCTAATTTTCTCAATTAGTGCTCAAGTTAGTTAATTTTGTTTTTAATTGAATCTAGAGGGAGTATTAACTAAAGAAAACTATTTGTCGATTTCTGACTTGGTTTAGGCTGATAGGGGCAATTGCATCTATACGAACCATGTATATCAGCTTGAAATATTATTCATCTCAAGTTATATAATTGGGGTTTTCCTTTTTGCAAGATATCCTATTTTCCCCCTAATGAAATTTCCTTCTCTATCAAAAAGAAGAAAAAAAAAATCACAAGTTTTTTGTTTTAATTTTGAGAAGCACTCCGTTTCTCTCCATATTAATGATTAATCTTTTGCTTATTGTTGCAGGTAGAAGAGGCCGCATTATCTGTTTTGCATATTCAGTATCCTGAATGGCCCGACCATGGAGTTCCCAAAGATACTTTTGCTGTGCGTGAAATTTTGAAAAGATTGTACCATTTACCTCCCAACCTTGGCCCAATAGTGGTGCACTGCAGGTTCGTTTCATTCCTTATTCTTTGTTTATTCACTTTATGGCAATGATGATGATAAATCACATGCATGTATGTCTGAGACAAGTTCTCTCACTCAGTGCAGGTATTGGTAGAACTGGAACATACTGCACGATTCACAATACAATTCAGAGAATACTTGCTGGTGATATGTCTGCTGTAGATATTGCTAACACAATAGCTGTGTTCAGGTCCCAGCGTATTGGAATGGTTCAGACCAAGGTATTAAGATGTGCTAATTTGATAATTTAGTATGATTAATGAATGTACTGATTTTGGAAATGCTGCATATTTAGACAAATTATTATGTTCCATTTCTAAAGTGATGATGCGGTATACTGTATTGTGTGATGGTAAAGAAGGCATATTGTTGCAAGGAATTAGGCTAGATAGTTGGTCAAGGATGTTCTGACAAGTTAAAGGTTTGAAAGAACACTGTTCTCCTTCAGTGGGGATTCTATCAAACTCAGCATGGAAGCTCAGGACGGAAGCTCCTACAGTCCTACACCTACTATTACTTTCTGTTTCTAAACTAGATAAAAATTAAAATGCTAGGAAGCTTTTAAATCTAATAAGAAAGGTGGTGGAACTGTGGATAGGTTTGATGATAATGAAGGCATATTGTAGCAAGGGACTAGCGATAGTTAGTCAAGGATGTCTCCACAGTCCACACTATCACTGTGGAGGAACCATGTCCTTGTTTGAAATTAGTCATCCCTATCTTTTAGTTTACATTTGCTGTTGTTATCTTTAAGGGTTGGGTGATCAGTACGAATTCTGCTATAAAGCTACCATAGATGAACTGTGTTGTTGTTGTACTTTATTGAAAATTTTGGTGACTCTTTCTGCAATTTATCAGGATCAGTACGAATTCTGCTATAAAGCTATCATTGATGAACTGGAAGACCTTGTATCTCAGCAGTAATAACAGTAGAAGGGGGTACGTGCTTCTTTTTTCATTGTAATTCTTTAAATAATATAAATCGTTCAGATCCTGAAATTCTTTTATACAGGATAGGATTTGTATGTCAGTTTTCTGTATTCGTTAATTCTACTATATCCGTCTCAAAATTATTCTTTTGCTAGCTTGACGAATTGCTGTCTTGTTTGATGAAAATCCAGTGCTGGAAGGATGTTTAGCTTGAAGCTAACTTTCAATTCTTCGATCTCTATTTTTGGTTCCCTGCAATGCTTATGTCTCCTGGCAGCTGAGTCTGAAACTCTGGCATTCCGGAGACTTTATCGAACTTATTCTCAAGCTTTCATGTATAATTGCTGGCAGGGGAAAACTGACAAATATTAGCATCCTTTTGATTGTTAGAATTCTATTGGGGAACATAATGGCATAATGACTAGAATAATCAAGTCCATTGTCCCTCCTGTTACTATCTTTTATTTTCTTAAACCCACCACCCCACTCCCTCTGCGAAGAATATGCATCTGAAATATTTTCTGTTCATTTAAATTTATTATATAACTTTTAGGGTGTGTATTAAATGAGTATGCTTTTAATTAAATGAATTTAAATATGTAAGAGGAAAAATTAAAATTAAAAAATAAAATACATACTTGGTTTAATTGAACAAAAAAAATTAGTAGCTTATACTTAATGAACTTGTACAAGTGATTGGGATATATAATGAAGATAAAAAATAAATTTTAATATTAAAAAATGAATGTAATTGAAATTGAAACGGTTGTTAGCCCATAGAAGAAATATAAAGTTAGTGTTAAATATAGACATTTAAGATTTAGATTCATGATATAGGAGTTTAATAAATTAAATAAATGAGAATTTGAAAATTGACGATATAATTAAGGGGGGAAATTGTTAATTAATCATTGATTTAAAATAATATGTTAAAATCAAACTTATGGGCTCCTGAATTTTGGTTTTGAAAAGTTTTAGCATTAATAATATTTGAGAGAAATAAACTGTGTATATATCAACTATTACTTTGATATATGGTTCAAAATTCAAATCTGACTCGATTACAATTATGGAAGTTTGCTTTAGTTACATGTATATTCATTTTGGTTACATGCAAATGTAGCATTAAAGTCGAATAAAAACGAACTAGCGAACAACAAATTACCAAGTGCATGTATCAATTGATGTGTGGATGTTTAGGTTTAACTAAATGGCTTTAAATTTGACTTTCTTATGTGCAATTGTTTAAAATCATCCACTTACAATATTATCCAATTTAAACAAGTAACAACAACCAAGGTTCTGGAAGATGATTTTATTTTATTACATAAGAGAAGAAATTCAGAGGACTAAAAGAAAAAATTACAAAGAAAGGAGGGTTAGGAATCTTCGTCAACTAAAGAATAAATAAAAAAAATACAGAAATTACAGATGGGCCCCAAGCCCCAACTAGATGATATAATTTTTCTTTTTTCGACTAAAACAAAGCCCAACTAGATAATATTCAAATTAAATGATTAATAGTTTACAATTTGATTAGTTCAAGTCTTCAACTGCCCGCTCTAGTCACATTTATATGATATTTAATTTAGTACAGGTGGAAAAACAATTTCGTATAAAATTTAATCTTAAATTTACTGACCTATTTCCAATTTGGTTAAACGAATAGTAAGGGCAGTATTGTCAATTGACACAAATAATATAAAATTTGGTTTGAATTTGTATTTCTCATTATGTGAATTTGATACTTTATATGATTATTAAAATTCTAATTTGGTAAATATATTTACTTAAGAAAATTTTTTAGTGTCAACCGTAAAATTTTTCAAATGAACCTTTATTAGCTCTCAGCTTGACAAATGAAATCTTAAGTCAAATTAGATATTATTAAAATTTGATTAATTACTAAGTAAATAGTGATATTTAGTTTGAAAATTTCTGACATGTCATTAATTTCCTGTCCAGTAGTTATGGGAGTGACATCTCATATTTACCATTTTATGTATAAAAAAAATCATTATAATTAGGACAATTTAAAATCAATCTTAATAATATCGATGCGACTTAGTAATTATTTTTATAATTAATTAGTGAGATTGGCACACTTTATGTCTTTATATATTTTGTGTAGAAAAAAGTACTGCCTTTGTGTAGAAAAGTGACCACCTATGATTATTCATTGTGAAAGATAAAGTGAAAGATAAAACAAAAATAAAATAAAATAAATTAAAACAAACTATTATACGGTTAATACAACTTTAATACTTAAGAAAGATAAGTGATTTAAAGTTTTTGATAAAATAAATAAAATAAAAGAGTCGTTTAAAAATAGAAATTAAAGCAATTAGCAAAAGAGGTATTCTCTTTAATGGTATAGTTTTTAAATTATTATTTGTAAATTATTAAGGAATGGTACAAACACCTCAATTTGTAGGTGTATTTCATCGGAAATAATAAAGGTAGGTGCATGAGTAAAATGAAGTTAGAAATACAGAGAAAAAAAAAAGAAGAGAAATCGATGTGACAGAAAATGATGAAAAAAAGATTAAAAAAATGTGATTAACTTGATGAATAAAGCAAGTGATTAACATATGAAAAGGTGAAAGGTGACATGATTAATGGATTTAATAATAAAACATGGTTGTTAGCACTTATAAAAGGTAGAGTGGTTACAAAAGCAGTCCTCACTCACATAAGTGAAGTGAGAATAGAAATTAGAAACACATTGGTGTCTCTGCCATGGCCGTCATCGTCAACACAAGAAGAGCTGAAACACTGCACTGAGGCGCTCGCCTTATTAAAGCTCAAGCTCCACCCCTCTGATCCCACCATCGCCAACAACTTCGCCATCTTAGAGGTTCATTTATCATTATCGCATTTGCGCATCTTAATTTGCGATTTCAGAAGAACATGGTAACGCTAACCGAGACCAATAAAAGATGCGCCCTAGCTCTTCATCCTCTCAATATCAACAAAAATCGACATATCCACGTTCTACCGCGTAAATTTATTTAATACTTTCATTTCATAGTAGGAAAATTTATAAAACTTTACATTAATCTATAATTAATAATTGCATGTATGATGCATTTGTTTTCGGTGGACGAGAACAGGGTTATTCTGAAATCAACAGGAGGTTATATCAACGCAAGCTTTATCTCGGTACACCTTTGAATTGTGTTGTGTTTATTTGATTTGGTATTGTCCATTGTGGAAGCAGATTTTGACATTCATACTTTGGTAGACCTCGTTCCCTGGAAAGATATCAAAATTTATTGCGACCCAAGGTCCACTAGAACGGACTTATGAAGACTTCTGGGAAATGGTTATCCAACATCACTGCCCTGTGATTCTCATGCTAACTAATTTGGTCGACCCTAAGGGGGTACTTTACTTGCCACCTTCCTATTCTTAATCAATTTCGTTCTTCCTTCAATCCTTATTTGATTACTTATTTTGGTTACTCTTTTAATAGAAGGAGTTGTGTGGAGATTATTTTGAAACCGAAGGATGGAAGCAGAGATTTTGGTGAAAACATATCTATTATCAGGAAAGAGATGAAAAGTAGTGAAAGTTCACCGCTGGTGTGGTCAACCACAGAGATCAGGTTAGATTCTCTCCCCCATGCAGCTGCTTTGACTTGGTTCCTCATATATTAAGTTAACAACTTTTTTAAAAACTAGCATCAAAATATATAGTCCGGGTCTTTAGTTCCTTTGTGAAAAAATAAATAAAAGTAAATGTGTAATTATTATCGATGAGTGAATAGATATTATTTTTATATTTAAAAGAGATATAATAGTGAGAAAATATTAAAATATAAATAAAAACATAAAGGTCAAGTAGACACAAAATAAATATATTCTTTTATATATTATTATAAATTTTACATTATTGATAAAAAAAAAAATAGATTTTATATCAAAAAGTCTATGATACTTACACTTGCACATAGTATTAGTGAACAAGTGTCTAAGTAAATATTTAAAAAAAATGTTAGAAGAAAATTAGTAAAGTAAAAAGTAAAAATTAAATTAAATTAATAAAATAATATTAATGATATATTAATTTTTTTAAAAAATATAAAATCAAATTATATACAATTATCTTATTTATATAAAAGTATAAAATAAATATTTTTATATAAAACAATAAATATATTATTTAATTAAATTACGCACTTAAAAATAATGCAATTATCTTAATCAATTATATTAATATTCTTCATTTTTTAGCCAACACTAAACTAACTAAATATAATGGCGAGAATTGAAAATAACATAAAAGAAATGTCAATGACCTTAAATTGATAATTATTTTTTACAAAGACAAACAAGATAGAGATATATTTACAAACATTTAAAACATATATAAATCCTTCTAAAAAATATATTTAAATCATTAATTTATATTTGTAGTTCTTATTTTTCACAATTCTGTCACGCTCATTTTTGTTAAAAGCTGTGTACGTCATATATAAAGTTGCGTACTTCATTTTAGTGAGAGATTTTATTTTCCATCTCAAATTATGATGAAGTAACTTCCATCACAAAATATATAAAGTCTTGTCACTATTTATAGAAAATAAATGCCCAAGATTTATGTAATATATAATGTAAACTCACTTGTCTATAAGAAGTAATATTTTAGTAAGTTACCTTAAATAAGTTAAAATTATAACTTACAAATACTCATATTTTTGCTAACTAGTTTTTAGAGGATGTTGTTAGAAATTTTCTTTGCAAGATATTTATGCTATGAGGCAAGCTTGACAAAAGCTTGCAATTTTTTGATAGTTTATTAAAATTATTCTTTTTAACATTTTGAGATATAAAATTACTTATTAAATATTATAGTTAATTTTATTTAATATATATTTTTCAAGAACTGATAAAGCAAAATTATTTAATCTTTATAAATAATATTTGTGTTTGGAAAAAAAAATCAACTTTTTTTTTATATAATTCAAGATCAAATATATTTTTAGTTCTCATAAATATGAAAATGACTTGATTTAGTCTTTATAATTCTTTTTTTTTTATCATTTTTAAATCTCTGATATTTTTTTATTTCTTATCATTAACTTTAGTTGATTTACGTATGACTAATAAAAAAAATTATAATAATAAATAATAGTTTAAATTAAGATAATTAAATTATTTTTAGATACATAAATTAATTGCAATGTATTTATTATTTTATATAAATAAAACAATTAAATATAATTTATGTTTATGTTGTGAATGATAATTTTTATTATTTTTAAAACTATTTTACACCAAGGTCACATAATCTATTTTTTTTGTATAAAAAAGACTTTATTGTACTTTTGTCATTTAAGTTTTGCAAGTTTTATTATCTAATTTCTAAATTTTTACATATTTTAATATTTTATTAATTGGTTGTTTGATTACTGACATCAAACATTATTTATTGATACAACATATTGATTGTTATTTACATGACATAATATGTTATGTCATTATTTATATATCACATAGACAATTCATGGTAAATATGTTATGAGTGATTAACTAAAATAGTCAACTAACAAAATGATAATGTATAAATATTTGAAAGTTAATTGAAAAAAAACTTGAAAAAGTTAGATAACAAAATTTGTAAAACATGATACATGAGTGACATAAAAAAATTACATTTGGCAGATATGTTGCCAGGGCGCTGTTTAAGATTTTGGGTTTAAAAGCCACTCGATCTTTCTGATTTCTGATGAACCAACCAATATTAGTGTGAATTACTCATGGATCCTGCATCATTCCAAAAAGGCATTCAGAATGCCCTCAAATGAAGCCATAACTGTCCCTAATTATAGCATCCTGTTCACTTCAATCAGTGGTCGCATTGCAGGTTGAACATACGCCACTGTCTGTTTTGCATATTCATCACACCAAATGGACTGACCACGGAGTTCCCGATGACAATGATACATCTGCTGTTCGTGAAATTTTCAAAAAATTATATCATTTAGAACCAAACCATGGCCCCATACTGGTGCACTGCAGGTTCATTTCATACATGCTTCTTATTTTATTTGCTATGTGCCAATGATGGCCATAAATCACATGCATATTTGATATTTTCTGAGACAAAACAAACAAACTCGCTCTCTCAGTGCCGGTATTGGTAGAACTGGAACATACTGCACCATTCACAACACACTTCAGAGAATACTTGCCGGTGATATGTCTGCTGTAAACATTGCTGACACAGTGGCTGCGTTCAGGACCCAGCGTCTTAGAATGGTTCAAACCAAGGTACATGATTTGATAATTTAATAATTAATGGGTTAAATTGTTTTTTGTGTTCATTTATATCCCCTCAAACTCTCTACGTAGTCACGGGGTGTTAATGATTAAAAAAAAAAATCCCCTAAAAAATAAATCGTCTTTCTTGTGGTCCTTTATTATTAGAAATGTGTTAGATATGGTTTTTGTTCTTCATAATAAATAATAGGTCTTCTTTTGGTCCCTTGGGTTACAACAATAAGGGCCAGAAATGACACGTTTTCATAAATGAGTGGATAATAGAAGACAAGTTTTTTAGCTACTAAAACCGAACATTACTTTACTTTGTAGGAACCAGATACATATTTAATTATGATTAATGAAATGTTCTTATTTAATGGATTTATTTGGAAAACACATGACTTGAGTTTCATTTATAATGAGATTGTCTTTTGAGTCCGGTATCCCAACACTAATGAGATTTTCATGACATGATTGTATATGTAAATATTATGTAGTTCGTTTTTGTTTAAATCTTTGAGCTTGGGGATGTAGGAAATTTGTTTGTGAGACAATTAATCATGACCTATATCGAATTCTAACCAAAGTTTCTTCCATAGGCAAGGGTATTTGGTGTAATTTTTAAAACGAGAACAGAGGTTAGAGTAATTTAGGAAAAACTGAAGATTACATTCTGCATTCTTGCCAGCATGCCTTAGTTTATCAGACACTTAGAATTGATCTCAGTCGGGAGCCTATGGCTATTTTACAGTTCTGGCTCTCTATTCCAATATTGCTTCTCTCCACACCTATAATTTATACCACTCACCAATCATCATGGTGTTGTAATCTGGCTCTTTTCTTCTATATACTTTCTACTTGAACTTTTAGGTGACTCTTTCTGCAATTTTCAGGCTCAGTACAGATTCTGCTATGAAGCTATCATAGATGAATTGGAAGACCTTGTATCTCAACAGGAATTAGGATAGAAGGGTACGTACTTCTGTTCCCTCTATAGTTTTGCAAGTATTATAAACCATTCAGTTCCTGAAATCCTTTTATACAGGATAGGATTTGTAACGACCCGGCTGGTCATTACACGCGGCATAGCACACTAGAAACACCGCACAGAAAAGAACAATTGTATACATATAGAGTCTAGAATATACATATACATGATCCAATCTGAACAGGGTTAAAGTGTACAAAAATTTCAACCAAATGCTACTATCCCAAGTAGCTCAACAACAAAACAGTTCCAAAAGAAATCAGCTCCGCCGGTCCGCTGATGACTCACCACTAGTCACCCACCTATCCTTGCTCTGCTCCCATACATAGTATGATCATTGCAGTCCAAACACCATGGAAATAACAAAGGGTAAGCTAGTGTAAATAAAATCAGCATACATATAACAATATAATAATAAACAGCTACAGCTTATACAATATCACAGCTTTCAATAGTATCAGCACCGCGAAGCGGCATTATCAGTACTGCGTAGCAGCAATAACAGCACCGCTTAGAGGCAATCACAACACCACATCAGTGGCTAATACAGCACCGACATAGCGGTTAATACACCACCACAATAGTGGCCACACACAGCATACAACTCAGCTAACACAGCACAGCACAACAATTCATTATACAGCACGGTTAAGTAGAAATCAACACATCTTATAATTCACTAGTCAGTTCATTATTCTAGAGTACAGCAATCATATGATTCAACATTTAAGATCATCAATAACAGCCCAACTCAGCATAAGACAACATTTGATAGAGCTAACCACTTATTTCTCAGCACGATCATCTAGTCAGCACAACATGTTCATCAAGTACAGTTTGGTTTGGTATATAACAACATTAACTACAATCTTAGCAAAATTGAACAGCTAACAGCGTATAAGTCATTGTTTCCATATGCGCCCGGCGCACTCATGGTCGTGCCCAGCACGGATCAACCAGAGGGCACCAGGGCCTTCGTGCCCAGCGCAGGAGTACTCGCGCCCGACGAGTCCCAATCAGAGAACCCAAGGCTCTCACGCGCCTGGCGTAATTCATATTGCGCCCAGCGCAGGCTCAGGCAGAGACTTCAGGGAGTCTCACGCGCCCAGCGTGACCTAACCCGCACCCAGCGTGGGAAAGGCAGAGACCTACCAAGGTCTGGTGCCCGACGCAATTCGCATTGTGCCCAGCGCCGTCTTGGCAGAGACTCCTAAGGAGCCTTCGCGCCCAGCGAGTCCCACCGTGCGCTTAGCGCAGCACCAGAACACTCCAAACAGGTCACCATTGATATCGCGCCCGGCGCAGCTCAAGTCCCGCCCGGCGTGGGCCAACTAGAGGCCCCCATTCTCAAGCTCGCCCGACGCACACACCTTTGCGCCCGGCGAGCTTGCCTGAACAGAGCCTCCTGGTGGTCACGCGCCCGGCGCGAAGAACAGCGCCCAGCGCGAAGTTCAGCAACAACTCCTCCAAGCTCGAAAATTGCTCCAAAACCTGCCAAAATCAGCCAGAAACCAACATGCAATCCATCCAGAGTTTCACATTTTCATCAAACATCAGGAAAAACACCTCATTTTCAACATGCAACCTCAAATCAAAGAAAACCCAAATTTCCTCAAAAACCCCCGAAACCCCAAAACTCTATTTTCATCAACCTCAGCTCAAATCATCCAATGTTCAAACAACAATGAGCTACTAGAACTCATTTTCAGCAAATAATCTGCAAGAAAACTAGCTTCCTTTACCTCGGTAGAAGATTCCGAGCTTCGGGGAGAAAAGAACTAGAGAGAAGATGAAGAAGAAACTTGAGGGAAGAAATCTCCACACGGATCAGTTAGCTTCGCCTAACTTGAATCACCACCTTCAGTCCAAGGAATCGGAAATGAAACAGCAAAGTGAGAAGAAGAGAGTAGGAGTTTAGAGTAAAGGAGTGAGACCTTCGTGAGTAAGAATGAAAGGGTAGAAATGGGAAAAGGGGAAAAAGAAGGGGTCTCACAGGATTTGTATCAGAGTTTCCTTATCTTTAATTCTACCATATCCTTGTTAAAATTATTCTTTTGCCGTCTTGTATGATGTAAATTCAGTATTGGACCAAAGGATGTCAGGTTGCTTGCCTCATTTGAAGTCAACTTTCAATTCTTTCATGTTCTAGACTTCTAGTTGGGTCCAGCAATGCTTATGTCTCCCGGGAGCTGAGTCTGAAGCATTAGCTTTCTGGATATTTTATGTATTGTGCTGAAGTCTTTGTTATTCTCGAACTTTAATGTATGCTAGAAAATGCCATATAGTGCTTCAGGTATTATTGAGTTATTTTCTGTTATATTTTATTTTTAAGAGCAGCAAGTTAGGTAATTTCATTTTTGTTTTTCATATGCTTCATCTCTACATAAAAGTAGTAGCTTGTTGTCATTTGTGTGCTTGCTGTTATAAACTTTATTCTTCTATCTCTCTGCCATTCATATATTTTCATGTGTAGTTTTTGCCTTGTTCTTTTCATGTAATATAACGATGTATAATTTCAAACTGGGTCAAAAGCTAACAAATATCAATATCCTTGTCATGATACTACTAGAATTCTGTTGATGGAACATAAGGGGCTTAAAGACTACCATATTCGAAGTCTATTTTTCCTGATACTTACCCTCCCTCCTTTTTTGCTATCGGTATACATAGGCTTTATTAGTGCATAAAGCTAATAACATCCTGAAGTTGAATACCCCCAGTTCCTGATGTTGAAGATGTGACACATGTTGGACTTTAAATGTTCATTTGTAGCCCTCTCACTTTCTACCCTCAATTTCTCATTTAATTCTGTTCTCAGTGTAGTTGCCCTGTGCATGAGGGTGAGGGGCTGTCTGATCCTCGCTATGTTCATTTTATATATGAGAACTAGGCTAGATTTCAATCAGTCCTAGTTTGCATTGCTGACCAACCGTAATTTTATAGGTTGACCCTGGACACTTTAGGTTTAGGTGATGATTTGAGGGGTTTCCTAGTGAGGTTCCTATAGTTTTTTAAAAATTAAAGAACCACCAAACCATTTTGGAAAACATTTTTTTAAAAGAAAATATAACCATTTTATCTTTCAAAAAACTGTTAGAATCTAATGAAAAGTAAATTATTCTTGTCAAATAAGTAACTAAACAAAATGGGTGTTAGTCATCTACTTGTAAGTCTTTAACATGGCTTGTCTAATCGATTACAGATAATTGTAGGGTATCTGTCAATGGCTAGCTAGATATGGACAAACAAATGTATAAACAAATATTAAGATTCATTAGTCTAGACTGCGGATGCTATGTAAGCCCAGCTTAGGAAAGGAAAATCTGTATAGCCATTTGCGATTTAACAAACTGACAAGGGCAACTTCACATGGGGAATGGATCGCCTGAGAGATTCCTATTTTGGCTTTGGTCTGTCATCATCCATAAGAAATTTCCTTGAAATTTCAGTAAGTTTTAATTTCCTTGAAAAAAGTATTATTATAACGAGTTATTATGGTACGTTGGAATCAAGAGGTTCTAGCTCAACCAGTACGTAAGTTGATTTTAGCTCGGATAGATGAATGGAGTACGTGAATTGTTTTAAACTGTTCGATTTTTATAAATAATAAAAAAAATAGTACTAGTTAAACTACTGTGAGTAAGAGAAAACGTTACGTGATTTCTACAATAAATGGAGAATTTGATATTGTACCGAAATTTACTTGCATCGTGCCTCGTCATGTTGTCAATATATACAAATTTGCGTGTTTTTGATGTGTATTGAGAATGGAGAAAATCTTGCTTTAATTCACGAAAATCACTTATGCTGAGAAATGTGGCATTGTGAGACTAATTCGATTTGAATTTTTGCAATTTGCCTCGTTAGAGAAAGAAAACAAAGAAATGCATTTTTTTCTACAAACTAAACTTTCTTGTTCTGGCGAAAACAAATGAAGCTGTTACCGTGTTTGCATGAAGTTTGAAAGCAAGTAAATGTTGAGTTATTACTGTACAGATGACCTTAAATACATAAAGGATATAAATAATATTTTACATTTTCTTAATTAAGTATTTTTTGTAGATGAGTTAGTTACATCTTTTTCAAGACTTGGTAGAGACATTGATTGAAGAATCCGAAACCAGTTTAGTTGGAGTGGAGACCTCATTCAATCAGTTTTCCAACTAAAAAAATTATAGTCGTCATAAAATCGGTAAATAATTTGCACCGATAATAATGATCTAAAATGTTATTGCTTCAAGAATAATATTGCGTATGTTTTAAAATCTGATTTATATTTACACAATAATATTCATAGATGCATTTGCACACAGATTTCTTTTTTTTTTTTATCAGTATGAATTATAAAAATAGCAACAAAGTTCAAACCTATACTTTTGTGAATATTATTCCAATTTTTCTAATACTAAGTAAACTATAGTAATTATTGCACGTAGCTTAAAAGCAAGTTATTATTGAGTTATAGGAATACCCTTATAAACAAAAAAATATAAACCATATTTTATAATTTTTTAATCATGTTATAAGTGTGAAATATTTATTGATTTTATTGATAATTAATTTTTATTAAAAAACTTAATTAATCAATTTTAATGAAATTTTCTTCCAATCATATTTCATAAGATTTGAATAGAGACCGTGCATCAGATATTCTAATCTAATTTAGTGGAGAGAAATAGCTCACTAAAGGGAGTCAATTAAATTTTTTGACAAAATAATCATTAATAAAGTTGATAAATATTTTATACTAATAATATGACTATAAAAAAATTATTATAGGTAATAAAATTTTATTTAATATGATTTATATTTACATAATATACCTTCATTTTTATATATAAGAAATAAATGAGAATATTAATTATTTAAATTTTAATTATAAGAAACATATATTTACTTTTAAATATAATAATTGATACAATTTTTTTATACCTATAATTTATTATGAGCCTATTAATTAGTTATTCATTTATTTTTGGTGAAAGTAGATGTATTTATTGACTTATAATATTATAAGTGATGTTCATTTGACAAAATTATTGATAGGTTTATAAATGTTGTCATTAAATATAATTATCGTTTACGTCGTTTAATTTTAAATAATTTTTAAGTAAAATTTTAAATTATTATATTATTAATTAAAACTAACTAATTTTAAGAAAAAATGTGGTGATTTTTTTTTATACATTCATTAAAGCTAACATCAAACATGTTATACCAAGTAAAACTAAAGTCAAATCTCTCAAGTAAAAAAATTTGTTTTCGAGTATTATTAATGGAAAAACGTAATTGAAAATGGAAAACTTATTAAAAAATAGTCCGTTGATTTTTTCCCCATAAATTAGTTATCAACAAAAAAAAAATTATAAGTACTTTGCATAATAATACAATTAAAAATAATTTAAGAAACGAACCTCAAATTATTTTAATCTTTTTAGTATTATTTAGAGGGTTTATAGTGATACGTTAAAATAGTTTTACTTAGTAATCTAATCATAATCCACTTTAAATGATAAGTATATTAATCTTTAAAATAACTATTTTAAAAAAGTCACACAAATCATATTTTATGATAATTAGTTGATTATGTTTTTACCTTAGTTAGACCCTTATTTAAAAACATTTTGCTAGAAATATATGAATATTCATGACCTCAACCTCAACATTACATGTTTGGTTAGAACTCCATTGTTCCATTTTATTTGATGTTTTAACATTTAGTTTGTTTTTAATGTGATTGTTGTTGTTTTACAATATTAATATAATATTAAATATATTTTTTATATTATATTTTAAATTATTATTAATATATTATTTAATTATTGATGAAAATTCAAAAGGTTTAAGAATATATTAATAAGTAATATAATTTATTTTAGAAAAAATTATGTTATCCTTCTTTGATAAATAAGAATATTATGTTCTTTCTTCTTGTGTTAAAATATAAATTTTAGTATATTTAACTTATCTATGTTAATATAAATTACATTCCTTTCATAATAGATTAAGATATTATATTATTACTTTTTTATATGTTAAAATATTAAATAAATTATGCTTTTATCCCTTATAAATATAAGAATTATACTATTATTTTTTTGTTATATTAAAATATATAATTTAAATATTTAACTCCATATACCTAAAGAATATTTATTATTAAATTTTAAAATATAATTTTAATTAAAATATATGTAAAAATATTTTTAATTCATTGTCATTCATTCACTAGATAAAAAATTGTAATCATC